GTGGATGGCTATCTGTAAATTCCTTGAATTTACTGTAATTCAGGAAGTCATATTTGGCTAGTATGCCTGATAATTCACAATCCTGAATTGCAGCCTAGATGATGAAAATACTGTCACAGCCTGGACGATTAGGGAATTTGGAAGTGCATGGGAAAAAAGAAACTCAAAACCTTTGGCAGGAACATAGTAGCATTTTTCTGCTCCCTTGGGGATAGCTGTGCATGTAGCAGGGGTGTCCCACACTGTCCTGGCAGGCTCCAGAATGGCTTCATTAATTGGTAACACAATTCTCACTGGCCCCAAGGTGTGGAGGATATCCAGCAGCTTGTGCTGGCAGTCTTGGATTTCTTCTGGAGAAATTTGGGGTTCCTGTGCAATTTTCCATAACAGCTCCTGAAATTGTCTGAAATCATCCGGTGGGGGAGGGGATGCTGTAGTCACCTCCTCATCTGGAGATGAGGAAGGGAATATTGCCAGTTCTAGTGGAACTGCTGGGACTAGGCTAAAAGGTTCTCCCTCCACCACTGGATCTGCTTGGTACCCTCGAGGGGGAGGCAGGTGATGGTTTCCTCATCGCCTGGGCAGGTTCCAAGGGGTAATATTGTGTCCAGGGTCCCCAATATGGCCAATAAGCTGGATCAGATGGAGCTTGTGGGAGTCCCCACAGAATGGGGTACCAATGGCTCCATGGTGACCGAGGGGTAGATGTTGCCAGGGATGTGATGGTCTCCGTGATGGCGCTTACGAATGGTATGATAAAGGTGGCTCTTCCAGTTCTGATTCATTGGAAGAGGAGAAGGTGAATTCCAGTTCCAATTGCAGTACCGTCAGAGCTGGTGGAAAAGTGTAGCTTATCCATGTAGGGGGAGAGGGATCCCATATCAGAGGCATGTCCCTTGGTGGAGATATGATCTCTCTAGAAGTGGAGGGACCCTATGGAGGGGGTGACTCTGGATCTGGAAGGCAAATACATCCTGAGGCTCAGCCACTGTCCTGGATCGATGTGAGAGGCACTCTCTCTCCCCCAAGTATTGGTACCGGTGCTGGGGTCTTTCCCGGTAAGGGAGGGTTCCGTGTTTTGTGGGGTGCTGGAGATGGTGGTACCATTGTATCAGTGCCTGGAACCACTGGATCCCATTGCTTATGGGTCTTTTTCTCGTGCCTATCAGACTTAGCACATACTTCATCCCCTTGGGCCAAGCAGGTGGAAGGAGCATCCATCTTCTTTGATTTGGAGGAAGGCTTAGTCCCGGTGCTTAATTTGTGCCAGGGTGTGCCAGTGCTGAGCCCGGCACCTCTAGGCTTGGCAGTTCATAGCCCTGGCACCTCTGGGGTCTGTGGAGATGGTTCTGCTGGCACCGGAGTCAGATGTGGTAGTGGGAGGTGCGCTCTTCACTGAATCAGGCTGATGAACGGGGGAGTTCCCTGGCCTGGGTCCGAGTGCGGTCTCATGGCGAGCTCCATGAGATGCTTCCAGAGGTGAAGTGCCTGGTCTTCTCGGATGCGGCTGGGGAAGGACTGGCAAATACTAGACATGACAGCAATGTGGGCTCCCACCAGCCTCCAATCTCAGTCACCTCCACGCAGGCTCCTTTTCCCAATCTATTTCATGAACCCTCCAACTCAGCCTCCCCAGGTCTGGTTTCTGTCCCCTCTCCATTCAATTCAGGCAGCTGCTCCTCCACACTACCTGGGCCCAGCAGGGATGTCATTGAGAGCACAGGAGAAACAGCCTCCCTGCTATAAGACCCAGTTCTGGTGTCTGGACCCATCCTGGCCTGGAGCAGCAATTACAGGGAAGTCCTACTTTGCCCCTGTAGCCTGGGGTTGGAGCATATTCAGTTGTTCTGTGGTGATGGCACATGCACACTCTGGTCACATGTAGAAGCTGTGCTCAATGAGGATGGAATTTTCGGATATTTAACTACTAAAATCAAACAAGTCTCTAATGAGCATGTGCAAACTGAGATTTTTCAAAGTTGTATAACTTAGCCACATTTTGGTGAATTTTCACTGGGATAGCAAAAGGCACATCCCTGACACAAAAGAAAATGTCAGAATTTTTTTAACATTGCAAAATATGCATTTGTCTCTATCCTCATTCTCAGAAACAGCTGAATCATTTTAACTGAAAATTTCCAAAAACATTCAGCCTAAGGCAGACATCCCGCACAGAACATTTCAGACAAAACAGTTAACATTTGGCAAAGTTATAAGTCAAATTGAAAACAGGGTTTTATAATGGGAAGTGTTGGGCAAACTTAATAAGACTGAGTGGTACCAGCCCTGCCTATAATAAGAATAATGTGCGTTTGTTACATACACAGTGTAAGATTGATGAAGCCCTTAACTGTTCATTTCCTTAACTGTTTTCTTAAACAAATGGCCATCTCTTCAACTGGCATAAACCAGCATAGAATTCAATGCAGCTACACTAGTTCATACCAGCTGAGGGTCTGGTACAAAGTGATTGGAGTTTTTGGAATTTCTCAGCACTTGTGGGTTTTTGTTCATTGTTTACATCGTTCCGTTTTGAATTTGTGTAGGTAAGTGAAGGCAGTTTTTAAAGTCTTACTTAAGTGGGGTGGATTGGTTTCTAGATTATTCAATAAAAGGAGGGAGTAGTGCTAAACAAATTAATAAGGGTTCTCATGCAGTCCAAGCTTTGTTCAATGGATATCTGAAAAGATACATATGTTCCGGAGATACTGTTGCTAAACTGGCCACCAGCATGTGGGCACACTCTGTTTTAACTCAGACTATGGGTAAAAAGCGCTTGACTCCAAAGCCAAAACCTAATAAAGTGCTTGGCTCCATAGCCACAGTGCCTCCCAGCCAATTCACTAAACCTTGCTGTGCCAGTCACCCCATCTGAAAGATGTGGTTCTTAGCTTTGCAGTTACCTAGTGCTTTTTCATCTGGAGATCTCAAAGCACTTTAGAGAAGTGAGTAAACATGGTTATCCCCATTTTACAGTTGCCTCACTTAGTACAACAAGGGCTTTCCTGAAACCGTTTCCTTTGTCTTCAGATGAAACCTGGCAATTGTCAGCTAAACAAAATTTTCCAAACCAAAGTCATGCGGGGGAGGGGGAGGAGCTAAAATAGAGCTTTATTATGGAAACTGGTTGCAACATTTACTGCCTCCCCATAGTCAGTTAAAATATCACCATGTTATGACAGGACAACTGCAAAGCAACAGGCACAAAATTGTGTTGTTTACTGCTCTCTTCATGATGTACAAAGACAGCATCCATGTTTTAGCATTGTGCTTTCTGTTTCTGTAATACCAAGTTCTGACATCCCTTTTTTTCCTGGGGGGACTTCAGAAATCTTTGGAAAATAGAAAGGTGACATCCCTGAAGGGTGAAACTAATTCTTTAGCTCTCCCAGGCTCAAATGAGGAGGTTGCATGTTCACCCTGACTGGGAGCTGAGAGAGCAGTGGCTCAGGTTTTAGACTCTGGCAACAGCCATGTTCCAGCTTTCCAAAGACTGCCACAGTCCCCCATGAAAAGAGGGATGTCCAGGACACACATTCCTCAGGCTGGAAAAAACAAAACAAACAAACAGAACGCCAGAAAATTTTCCTTCAAATGAAAAAAAAAAAAGTTGTTGCTATCTTTATACATCAGTAAGGAGCAATAAAGATCAAACATGCTTTTGTTTGAAATTCATAATTGAAGAGCAACTAGACTCTTTCCACTGGCCTTGCTTTGTAAATAAATAAATAAGGGTCAGACGAGGGTAAGACCAACATTTATTTCTGAGAGTTTGGGTCCTGACTGATTCTTCCCTCTCTTGCAGGAAGGAGTCTTTCTCCCTTGCTAGTGATATCAGACAAGATTCTGTTTGTAGCCTGCTATTAGCAGAGCTGCCTGAAGAAATACTAAAAAACAGTCGGAGGGTCTGAGGTCTAAAAAAGATTTTGGCACTCACAACCAGAGTCAGAAGAGCTCCCCTCCCCTGTCAGCACCACAGCAGGTAGCTACATGCTCCAAAAGAAAAAAAAAGCACAGAGCCTTGGGGGACAATTTGGGTGCAGAGCTCTTCTAAAAAAAAAAAAAAAAAAAAAGCTGTCCATAAGCTCCCATTGGCACTACTGGGCACTGAGCACTGTTGGAAACCTGGCCCTTACTTAGGTACTTAAATGAGAGGCGGGCTCTGGAAAGTCTGGCCCTGCCTGTGTATCCTGAGCACTTGGAAATCTGACCCTGAGCAGTTTTGAAAATTCAACCCCTAATGCAAATGCGAGGCCACAAAGCTTGTTCAAGCAACTGAGGCCCCTCCTTCCTTCCCAACAGGTTCCGAGCCATCACCATCTCCTGGGCAGATCCACACTTGGCTTCACAGCACACCTGCAGTGAAACTGGCTGCCAGTGTGTTGGATTCCCTGCTCCCGAATCCCCACTGCAAAAATGCCAGACTCCATGCTGGCTCCTCATGCTTGGAAGAGAGAGTAAAAGAAACTGCCTCTCACCAGCTTCTGCCCCCTTTTCCAGGGGTGGTGGTGGTACTGGCTCTCCTGCTCTGAGGGAATGGAGAAAAGCAGGGTAAGGCCAGCCTGTGGGCTCTGCATTGAGGCAGAGGGCACACCAGCACTCAGGACTGGTAAGGGAGGCTCCTCCGGCTCATCCAGGCCCAGGGCAAGGTTTGTAGGTGCTCATTTCTTGTTTCCATAGGTGATTTGTTTAGCCACCAAGTTTCCTTTCCCCTCCAGGTATAAATGGCCCACTTACAGGACACTGCAAGCAGAACCAACCCCAGAACTACCATCAAGGAGAAAGGCTCTTCTGCAATGAGGAAGAGATGATCTCAGATTAAAACTGCGATACATCTGTTTTTTTTTAAAAGCCACTGTTCAATCCGTGTCCACATTGTATTCAGTAAATCAGATATGTCCTTTCTCATTAGTACACATATTCATTCAACACTCACATGTTGTTCATAGTTTCCAGTGTCCCTTTCACTCATTATCTAACCATAGGCTTTGATGTCTTACCTTGATCACCTCTGGGGGCTGCTGAATCAATGTGGGGACAGTGTCTTTGGTAGTAGCACCCATACAACTTCTCTGTACAGCTGGGAAGGACTGTGAGGGAGTGGTCAAGGTTTCCTGAAGAATTTGCATCATTTCCTTCTCTTTGGATAAATTTCCTTTGCCCATGTGGCATTCCACCAGTTCTTGGGCAAAATCCTCGATACTTTCCAGGATACGAAGTAGAAGGGCTTTGTCGTCTTCCTCCATTTTGTGGCCATTAGTTTCCACGGTCTTTGACAAAGGGGAAGTAGAGTTTTTGTCAGGGAATAAACAGACTTTATTTTTGGTTTCAAGAGCTAGTGGTAGGACCTTCCCACCCTCTTGGCCAAAGCCCTTCAGAAATCCAGGATCGTTCTCCTTCATGGTGGGCTCCTTCAGCGCGCTCTCCATTTTCTGTGAAAAGTGCTCCAAGTCCAACAGCAGCTTATCTATCTCATCCTGGTTGTTTTTCCTTGATTCTCTTTGTTCTCCTGAAGAGGTGCTAGCCCTGGAATCATTCATAAGAGAATCTGAGATTGGTTCTATAAAGGTGATTTTCCCAGAGGTCTCGGCAACAGCTTCAGCATGAACTCTGGCAGGTGCCTCTTTAAGGACTACAGTAAGATCTGGGCTTCCAGTTTTCTGTTGGCTGCTCTCTAAACTCTCCCAGCTACCTTTATGTTCTGCCCTCTTTCCCTTGCCTAGTGCTATCTCCCCATCTGACTCCTCTTCAATGTATAGCGTTTCTCCAATGGAAGACACACATTTGGAAGGGCTTACAGTTAGTAACTGAGGTACAGTACAAGCATTTTTCACAGTTCTTGAGTTGTTCTGCTGGGTGCTGCTGTGCAAGGAGTCTGAGGTAAAGCCTCCAGTGTTAGTTTGGATAGGTTTTGGGGTGCTAGTTGTGCCAATCTCATGCTGGCCATCTTGCAGTTCTACAGTAAGAGAGGGTCTTGTTATGGCGGATGGCAAATGCACAATATCCTCATACCTAGGAGGTTGCTCATTGCCAAATATTGGGGAAAAGGGAGCCTGCTGCAACCCATGCAAACTAGTAACCAATTCTGCCAAGTCACCGAGTTCCACGTGACTGGGCTGCTTTAGTTCAATGGGGAGCTTTTTCAGGTAGGAAGAAAACCTAGTCATCAAATTCCTATAGATCATCTCAGAGCTGGCCAAGGGGTCATTATCATTTCCCCCACTGATATCACCTGAAGCTTTCTTTTTGATGCAGTGCTTGATGATATCTGTACATTTTTTCAGGTCCTCAGAGCATTTGAGCAGAATGTCCAAACACACTTTAATATCTCCACCAGAAGAGCTGTCCAGCTTGTGCTTTTCCAAAATCTGGGTGATAAAGCTCTCTTCAGAGAAGGCCTGGGTGGAGAGGGAAGCGGCAGTATTCACATTTCCCTCTGAGGAATTGCAGCTCTCCTGCCATTTCTCCCCAGCTGAGGGAGTCTGCAGCAAGCCAAAGGGAGGGCAGTTCTCATCATTGTTGAAGTGTCCATAAATCAGATCAAAATCAAATGACCGTCTGTTGAACGATTCTGACCTCACTTTCCTTCCCTTTCTGTAGGTCACATGGCTGGAAGAGTTTTTGACCCTTTCAAAGGAGAATTCCTTTATTTTACCACTGGCAAGATTTATAGCTTCCCCGGTGATATCTTTTAGACTGCAGGTGGTTTGCACTGAAGATCCCTTTTTGAGCCTTGGATTACTTGGGAGGATCTGCTGATAGTCTTCATTCCCAGCCAAAGTTAGCCCATTTTCAGGAGTCGAAAGTCTCTGGTCTAGATCTGCACCTCTGACATTAGATGCAGGGACTCGAAGTAGCTCTGCACAAATACTGTGGTGGGCCACTATGCATGCAACTCCTTGCTTGAACACCTGACAGGTCCCAGTACAGTAATGCACAGTGTGCTGAAAGTGACAGTCTATCACGACACTGCTGTAACAGTTCACAGTAGTGACTACAAGCTGATAGGTTGCTGCCATAGCATGAATTCCCCTTGGTAGCGAGGCTCTGAAATTCACCACAAACTCAGAAGGTCCAACCGCCTCTTCAAACCCAGGCTGGGTTTAATGAAAACATTCCTATTTCAGTCTCATCCCATTGATTAAGAAAATAATTTTTAATTACAGGGAAAACTCTGAACTGTAAAGTCTATAATCCTGGTGAGATCTGGGGCAGTATCTGCAGTAAAATTGCAACTGCAACTGCAGCACATATAAGGTTTGACTTAGGGTGATTTGATTATATAATATTGCTTAAAATTGTACTCCAAGCAGAGATTACTTTGCTGACCACAAAAACAGCATCCATTACTTCCCTTCTCATAGCCCAGGGAGGTTCAGTAAGAGACATTATAGAACACACACCAGCTCCCAGACTAAAGAAATGACAAAACAACTATTTTTTTCCTTATATTTTTTCTCCTTCTTCAGGCCTGGGGTTTTAGAGAGGGATGCTCTGTGCTGAAAAAGGCAGATACTAATTGGCTGCAACATAACAATGAGGAATCCACAGCAAACTGGAATAATCTGTTTCTGCCAACTGGTAAGAGAGACACCTGCAATAAAAACAAATACAAGAGTCAATATCATTACTAGAGAGAATATGTAACCTTAACTAATACTGTACCAAACATAAGACACCAGATCTAATTCCCAGTACATGACCTTGTATGGGCAATGGCATCATGAGAATCAGTGAACCAAACATGATAATGCAGTTGAAATGCCTGCCTATGTTTAAAATAAGGCTGCCCATGCATTTCCATTCTAAGGATTCTTTCTCAGCTCCTTGTAACATTCCCAAATTTATTTCTTTAGGGCTGCTCAAGGGGATGTTTTTTCTTAAATTGAGCAAAAATGTTTTAACCATTTCTGGGAATGAGGATGGGGATTGGAGGGGTGAGGAAGACCAACACTGCATGCTGCCCAGATTGCATACTGTGATCACATAATTAAAGTCAAATGTATTATGAAGACCAGCAGGGGACTGCAATAACATGGCTGCCTGAGCTCTGAGGCAAAGTAATATGCCTCCATTGACCCCTAAACATACTAAACTCCCCTCTACCCCCAAAAATCAGAGCTGCAGAGAAGGGATTCTTTTAAAAAAAAAAAAATCTGAAAAAGATCCCTTACCAAGAAGAGTGTTTGTGGTTCACAATCTGGAGAGCCCTCTCAGGCTCTAAGTGAACACACAACAGCCAAATTAGGCAGAAATACCACGGCTGGAAAAAACCAAATGGCCACCAAAGCAGACATTTTAGAGTTGATCTCTGAGTTTAAGCTCATGACAACTGATCTGATGACCCAGCTTCTAGAAGTAAAAAAGGAAGTTACTGACTTGGAAGAGTGCATCTCTGTGCTAGAGACTAGCATCAGAGAAGCATATGAGAGAGTGACAGAGTTGCAGAGCCACCTGGCACTGATGGACTAGAGCAGGGGTAGGCAAACTACAGCACGCGGGCTGGATCCAGCCTGCGAGCCATTTTAAGCCAGCCCGTGAGCTCCCGCTGGGGCACTGGGTCAGGGGCCACACCACACGACTCGGCCTCGCTCCGGCTGGGGCGCAGTGCTGGGGGCCACACCACCCAGCTCCTGGAAGCAGCGGCATGAGCCACGGCATGGCCCCACTCTGGCTCCTAAGCACTCCAATGGGAGCTGCAGGGGCGGTGCCTGCGGACGGGGCAGCATGCAGAGCCGCCTGGCCACGCCTCCACATAGGAGCCGGAGAAGGGACATGCCACTGCTTCCAGGAGCCGCTTGAGGCACCACTCGGAGCCAGCACCCCGAGCCTCTCCCCACGCCCTAACCCCCTGCCCCAGCCCTGATGCCCCTCCTGCTCTCCAAACCCCTTGATCACAACCCGGAGCACCAGGGCCGGTGCAAGGATATTTTGCACCCTAGGCAAAACTTCCACCTTGAGCACCCCTTTCCCCTACCATCCCCCCAGAGCATCGTTTATTATAAACTTTCAAAAATGAATACTGCATAATGTGGCATTGTTCATTAGAATTAATACACATTCGGCTTGAAAATGTATTAATTTCATTATTTAGTCTACATATTTAATGAAAATAAATGGCCTTGGGTCTCCTGCATGTGGCTAGAGTCCCTCCTGCCCCCCCCCCCCATGGATCTGGAAAGGGCTGTTTTGGGGATCAGAGCACAGATCTTGGGGGCTTGGGGAGGAGGCGGCTCGGGGCTGGCAGGGGGGGCGCGGGTGGGCAGTGATGTGGGGCGCGGCGGAGGGAGGCAGCAGGGCCCGCAGTTGCAGAGGACGCCCACAGAGGTAGATGCTAAGGGGCAGGTTCTGTGGGTGGAGAGGGGAGCGCTGCGGGGCAGGTTGCAGGGGGAAGGGTCTGGGGGGAGAGGGGAGCGCTGCAGGGCGGGTTGCTGGGGGAAGGGTCTGGGGGGAGAGGGGAGCGCTGCGGGGCAGGTTGCAGGGGGAAGAAGAGGCTCTATGGATGGAGAGGGGAGCACTGTGGGGCAGGTTCCCGAGGGCAGGGTCTGGGGGGAGAGGGGAGTGCTGCGGGGCGGGTGCCCGAGGGCAGGGTCTGGGGGGAGAGGGGAGCGCTGCAGGGCAGGCTGCAGGGGGAAGGAGAGGCTCTATGGGTGGAGAGGGGAGCGCTGCGAGGTGGGTTGCAGGGGGAAGGGTCTGGGGGGAGAGGGGAGCACTGCGAGGTGGGTTGCAGGGGGAAGGAGAGGCTCTATGGGTGGAGAGGGGAGCGCTGCGAGGCAGGTTGCAGGGGGAAGGGTCTGGGGGAAGAGGGGAGTGTTGCCTGCGGGGCGGGTGCCCGAGGGCGGGCAGGCTCTGGAGGGGGCGCGGCCGGCGTGTTGCGCCCCGCGGTGTCCATGGTGACTGCAGCCGCCGGCCAGTGCTGGGTCTTGAGGTGCGGGGCCCCTGGCCGCCCCACTGGAGCTGCGAGTGGAACCCGCTCCCTGCACAGCGTCCTCCGAGTCACTCAAGGCAAACCCTGCCCTGGCCCGGCCATGGACCACCCCTGTGCAGGGAATGTAAAAAAAAAATTTGGGGCACCGCTTTTTGGCACCCCCAAATCTTGGCGCCCTAGGCAGCTGCCTAGTTTGCCTAGTGGTTGCACCGGCCCTGCAGAGCACCCTCCTGCACCCCAAACCTCTCATCCCCAGCCCCACCCCAGAGCCTGCACCCCCAGCCGGAACCTGAACCCCTTCCCCCACCCCTGCCCCAGACTTGATCCCCCTTCCACACTCTGAACCCCTTGGTCCCAGCCCACAGCACCCTCCTACACCCCAAACTCCTCATCCCCGCCCCACCCCAGAGCCCGCACCCCCAACCAGAGCCCTCACTCCCTCCTGCACCCCAACCCCAATTTTGTGAGCATTCATGGCCTGCCATACAAGTTCTATTCCCTGATGTGGCCCTCAAGCCAGAAAGTTTGCCCACCCCTGGACTAGAGAGTGAGAGATGAAGCTTAAATTGGATGATATAGAAAACAGAGCAAGACAGAACAATCTCAGAATTAAGAGGCTGCCTAAAAATGCTGAAGGAGGAAAAACTTTAGTTGTGGAGTTGTTAAATCTGAGCTCTCTGGGAGAGGTAAATGTGGAGAGAGCACACAGGGCGCTGTTCCTCTGCCTGGGCATTGTGATGGACCCAGAGATCTCATTCTGAAATTCCATGATTATCGGCAAAAAAATATCACTATGAAAAAAGCCAGAGAACATTCAGAGCTCATACTCAAAGGCCACAAGCTGCAATTTTTCCATGAACTCTCTGCCCTAACCTTAAAAAAGAGGAGAGAGTTGGGGGAAATTACAGCAGCCCTCAGGGAAGCAGATATCTGCTCCAGATGGGGATTGCCATTTAAACTCTAATTCGGCTTCCAAAATCAGTATTATGTAGTACGAGACTTAAACTGAGGAAAAAATACACTCCTGTCAGAAATCCAAACCTCAGCCATACCAGAGGATATTACTCCAGAGGTAGTAACCAAGAATAAGATTCTGAAAAAGTCTTGGCAGACAGTGAAGGAAAAGAAAAAATAAATGACACTAGAGACTGCACTAGCAATGGCAGAATTGAAGCGGAAAAAGAGAACTCTGATACCTGAGGAGTAACCTAAAGATTAATCAGAAGGGACTTCTTGTGGGTCACCAAGAATTAATAGCTGAACAGTAACTATGTTAATATTATAAAGGATGGGGAGGAACCATTAGGGATTGTGTGTAAATCCTCCCCATGTAACTCAAGTGATCAGATGGTACAATGTACCACCTCTGGATTACAAGAGAAGCAGTCAAAGTGTTCACAAGAAGAGTATGGGGGGTTGGAGTTCAGGAAATCATATTTGTCATTTGGGGACCAAAGGCTCTTAAGGAAACTAAGCAGTCATGTGCTAACACAGAAGGTCCTCTCATGGATCAGTAACTGGTTAAAAGATAGGAAACAAAGGGTAGGAATAAATCATCAATTTGCCCAGTGGAGAGAAGTAAACAACAGAGTCCCCCAAGACTCCATTCTGGGACATGTGCTGTTCAACATGTTCATTAATGATCAGGAAAAGGAAATGAACAGCGAAGTGGCAAAGTATGCAGATAATGCAAAATTACTCAAGTTAGTCAAGTCCAAAGGTGACTGCGAAGAGTTACAGGGGAACCTCAAGAAACTACATGACTGGGGAACACAATGGCAGATGAAATTCAAAATTGAGGAGCACAAAGTGATGCACATTGGAAAAAATAGACCCAACTACACATATCTAATGATGGGTTCTAAATTAACTGTTACCACACAAGAACAATCTTGGAGTCACTGTGGATAATTCTCTGAAAACTTCAACTCAATGCACAGCAGAGGTCAAAAAGGCTAACAGAATGTTACATAAGAATGGCCATGCTGAGACAGACCAATGGCCCATTATCCTGTCTTCCAACAGTGGCCAGTGCCAGCTTTTTCAGAAGAAATTAACAGAACAGGGCAATTAATAATTGATCCATCACCTGTCGTCCAGGCCCAGCTTCATGCAGGCTGACTGCGTTATGTGAAGTACTTCCTTATGTTCATTTAAAACCTGCTGCCTATTAAATTTCATTGGGTGACTCCTGGTTCTTATATAACGTGAAAGGGTAAAAACACTTCCCTATTCACTTTCTCCACACCATTCATGATTTTATAATCTCTATCATATCCCTCCTTAATCATCTCTTTTCTAAGTTGAACAGTCCCACTCTTTTTACTCTCTCCTCATATGAAGCTGTCCCATACTCCTAATCATTTTTGTTGCCCTTCTCTGTACCTTTTCCAATTCTAATGTATCTTTTCAGAGCTAGCGTGACCAGAACTATATGCAGTATTCAAGGTGTGGGTGTACCATGGATTTATATAGTAGCATTATGATGTTTTCTGTCTCATTAGCTATCCCTTTCCTATTAGTTCCCTAACATTGTTTGTTTTTTGACTGGTGCTGCACATTGAGTAGATGTTTTCAGAGAACTATCCACAATGACTCCAAGATCTCTCTCGAGTGGTAACAGCTAATTTAAATCCCATTGTTTTGTATGTATAGTTGGGATTATT